GCCATGTAATCATATGTAACTCATTAAATATCGAAATTAGAAGGGAAACAACTTTTATTCGAAGCATTTTTCGAAATTTTGAAGAAAAAAATTTTTCGTCAGCTTCAATACTTAATTAGATATTTCCTTCAATACTTTTTAGCACGTGGCTATTTATTATTAAAAAATGTTGAGAAACGTTACTGTAACGTTACTATAATGTTGCACTGCAACGTACAAATGCACTGTTGTTGGAATGTTGCAGCAATATCGTACGGTAATTGAAATGAGACAATGTTGAAGATACGTTGTTGTAATATTGAGTGCTATCGGGGATAAGTATTTTACCGGTTCACTACACTCTATTCAGTACACGTGTCGGCTATTGACTTCTAAAGGGAGATCAAAGAAGGATCTATTAATCATTCTTTAAAATAAACTTCAGAAGTAATTACGTACAATATGAAGCAATTTCCTTTGCAACAAAAAATTGATTAATGATTCCTATTTGTTGATCCGAGCCAGTAAAATTGTTGATAAAATAATTGAAAGCAGAGCTCCAACTTTTAAGTAGAATCAGTTACTCACGTTTGTGAGTTGAGAATCGGATAGCTACAGTTTTCTACAAGTTATTGCACGTTTCGAGACAAATTGGTTCATAAATTGATCCCGTAACGGGATCGGTGAAAAGAGCGTGACGGTCCTCCCTGGAAGGGTAACATATTGCCAAAACGGGGCCCGCACGCGCGTTCACCCCCTCAAGAATTAATTAAATAGATATTAGCCGATTCACTTGACGCTTAGCCCTGCGTATAAACATTCGGCGTGATATCCGCGTGTCAAATCGCCCTCGCCTCGAGTGTCGCCGAGGGTGCATAAAGTTATTAATATTCGGCCACGGCTAGTCGTCCTATTCAAATTGCCTCACCCTTACCCTTGTTATCTTTTCTTTCTTAACTCCCCCATACGCATCCCTCAACTGTTTTCTCTAACTCATTTCGCTACTTATTTTAATACCCATACCCAGTTTAATATACTGCAATGTTCTGGAGTCTTCAAGTTTTATTTAAAAAAAAAATATCATCGTCTTACAATAATTTCTTGCTGAGCAAATTACCTCCTAAATGCAATATTTAATCACACTAATTTGTGATGGAGATTATTATATGTATAATACTTTATTTCAGCCTATTGGCCCAGAAATGGACTCATTCCTTCATACTTCTCCCCTTCTTCTTATTTCTTACATTTTATCTCCTTGCAAACTTAGCAAAAACATAATAATATTAAAATACAAAGAGAAAAATAACATGTCTCCTACTCGCTCTCCCTCATACCTTTATAAATCTATAAGTTATAACTTTTCTTAAATTTTACTATGGAGATTATTATATTACATCGTTGCATTCTGTCTGAGTTTATAATTAAATCAAAGTATCACGATTGATGAAATTATATTTCTTACTGGCTTTACTCTCACTTACCCTATACGTGAAAGAAATTTGATATGAAAGTAGGAATCCAATTGAAAAACCATTTCGTATTTGCAAGAGTCTAATAATACGAATTTTTATTTGATTCAAATGATAGGAGATTCGAGGACGTATATTGTATTAAATTGATCTAACGTATGATACGCTTTTCACAGGTTTGTATCCATTAACCGGGGCGGTGGATATTTAATTCGAGTCCAGTAATATTCGCTACATATATCCATAACTGCAAGCTGACGCTCCGGATCGATGCCCCGAGCGTCGGCGCTGAAATGCTTCACCGCTGGATATTTCGTAGCTTTCCTAAAACTGATATTTGATTTTTACGCGAAATCGAATACAATAACTCCGCACGGTGCGCCCGTAACCAGACGAATTGAATACAAAACAAGATGGAATAAAAGATTCCGATGTCTAAGATTTTTCAAATCGTTGTCAATCAAGATATTAATTTTACATTCATTTACATAATTACATATTCCAATTAGGTTTTATAATTATTAGTCCTTTAAGATTGTAGATATGATGTAGACTGTAATGCGGAATCGTTCGTACATTTCGTCATATATTTTGTTTATAGCAAATATGCGGGATGACGTAAAGAGTGTGAATAGTCTGATTTTGGTTTCATCCCCCTCGGGTTGCACGTGTTCGAATTGATCTAATTCTGATGCGTTTCTAACAATGGACAGCGTTGCGGCTTCGGCAACGGAGCCACGCCACTGACAGCAATTACCCGATTTCGTCACGGAGATTTCCACATTTTCCAATTGTATACGCCGTTCATAACGCGGATCTGTCATGGGGTTTCCCTGTTACAGGAGAAACTCAGTCAGATCAGAGGAGATCGAATTAGATCGATCTGTATAAGCCTCTCTCAAGTTTCATTAAGATATCTCAATAACTTTCGTTAGTATAATTAGGAAATTAGGTGGTATAGAATTTTCAATGAAAATTGTTGTAAGATATCTGAGATGGGGACCAGAGAGAGGTTTGTAAAATGTGACCGAAAGAGATTAGGCAAATACAATTTGAGTTCTCATTTTTTATTGTAATCAGACAATTTGTACATACAGACATATAATATATTCTACACGGTTCTTTTTACAATTTTACCATTCTTAACGAGAGCACCTAACAGTGTTATCACCGTTACATTGGTATCAAATTGCAATACTGAAATAAAATGTAATTATTAAAGTAAAATAAAGAAATCTCTTTAATCATAATAAATGCCAGATCGAAAGTAAAATTGTTTTCATACCAACAAAACCTAAATATAAAAGAAATTTATCTAAGAGCTTAGTATGTCGCCTTGTAAAACACCTATAAATTCTTCTATTCAGGGAACCCAAAGTTTCAGGTGCCCGACCCTTGGATCGGCTTGGACACTGATCAAGTCGAATCCGATTGGGATCCCGAAAATTTGTAAGCTCACATTCCGATACCCGCAATTTCGAGTACCCGAATTTGCAGTCGAAACTTCTACTTATCGGTTACTCGTCTTACAATTAGTAAAATCAACCATTATTCAATAATTATTATTTTCTAAGCTGAATTGAACTAAAGATATGTTCAATCTTTTATGTCGGATAAAATGTACGGCGGTATTAAATAATCGGAACATTAAAGTAGTCCACGAATCCCAGAGTTCTCGTGGCTGTAACGATATTTCTGGTACTGGAAATTGTAGATATCCAAGCCTCAGAACTTTTCCACATTATTCAAATTTCACCGGTCGGTTTTTTATGTCTGACTAAAAACATGTTCACGTCCGGTTTAATATTAATTTTCCACGACACGAAATGAATCACGTGTATAATCTAGCGATATAATAAATGAATAGTAACTAAAGAAAGTGTCGCTGGAAATAAGTATTATTCCGGACGCTAAAAGTTGAGTACCGAAATTCGGATAATGTGAAAATGCTCTTTCGGGATGAAAATTCCCGGTCCGATTCGAACTTGAATTATCGAGAACCTGCACACTTGTACTGTCCACGTACTACGCCTTCTTTTAAATAGAAATCTATTCCTCTTTGTTTTTACTAAGTAAGACTCATATTTTACTTAGTAAAAGTTCATACTTTTAACAATTTCGTAAAATGAAAGCGTAAAGTACGTAGCGCAGTATAATCTGCTGGGTTTCCACTTAAGTTTACTCTCACTAGAAATAAAAACGCGTTAGAAAAATATTAAACGCTTCCTCGAGTAGATTATTGGTGCGTAGCAGCTAAAACGTGTATATCTCTCCAACTAGCACTCGCTTGTAACATGAAAAATACTGCTTCTCGTATGCAAAAGGCACGCAAAGTAGAGAACTGTTAAATCCGCTGCTTTGTTTCACTACGCATGCAGCAACTCGAATTGCAAATCAATTGTTTAAGGCTTAAGAACCAAATTGAATTATTTAATTAATTAATTCACGACTATTTATCAGTTTTCATATTGCTAGGAACCCACATATTTTTCGATTAACCGGATTATTTAATAAATGCTATGAAAATTCACATTCAATTTGCAAAATATTATGGAACTAGTTGCAGGATGAGTTAACGTTTCGTATTCTACAGCGTTTTTACATTTATTAAAACTGTTTTGTTCATTTCAGTATCTTGCCTTTTCACAAAGAGAAAATTCGAAATGATAATTAATAGGCTGTGGAATATTTGCATTTATAGAATAATTAATACACATAAAGAGGATATAAAAATATTAAAAGCAAAATCATAAGGAATCATCTGATTTTTTTAAAGGCAGACTGTTGAAAGTTCATTGTGCATAAAATTCCACAGCCTTTCAATGAGTAAATAATTGAAAACCGTTCAGCATTAGAGGAACTTTTAAATCTCTTTCCTTTATTCGCATTCGGTTGAAATGAGGTATTCGTTAGAACTCGTTGAGTCACGAGAAACTTGTATCATCGTAATTAATTCTAATCAGTCCCTCACGCCTAAATTGAATATTTAATTAGCTATTTAATGAGCGAATGTAAAGAAAAACCCTTCAGGAGATTCATGTTTATACAAATAAAATCTATCTCATTTTCGCCGATTTATTTTATGCACAATATCAGTGTTCAATTAAGAGAATAGAGGATAGATTAACTAAAATGGAATAATCAATTTTTAAATGTCTTTTTCCTCCGATATAAGCTTCTCTAGACTCAAGGTTCATTTTCTCTTACATTCTAACCGCGTATCAATATTGCACAATATCTACAGAATACTGTCGTACTGATAAAACGTAAATTAAAAAAAAGAAGACAATTAAAATATGTAGGTACACTCTCACAGTAAGTACGCTATTGAAGGAATGTTATTAGCAGGATTTAGATTCGTTTTAGGACGTCTAGAAATAAAAAAAGCATATCCGCTTTCGTATTTACACGTAACAGATCTCAATAGAAAATCAAGAAGATTCAACAATGATTTGATTCGTTTATATCGTTGAACAATTTTAACAACAATGCGTGGTACCGCTTTTTGCGAGGAGAAAGTCGATTCCCTTAAAAAGATGCGGATAATACATATAGACATATTTTATACTAAATCTTAATTTAATTATTAAATGCCCATGTTCAACATTGACATTCATTTTCAATAATATCGTTGCGTTTCGTGAATTTCTCCTTGAAAGAGAATCGACTCGATAGATAAACTCTGGAAATTTATTGGAAAGAGAGCGACCTTACTCTCACGGATCGGATTCCTCTTTGCTTTCTTCTTGTACATTGAAACCTATCGTTACGCTAGAGCTACTCGTCATGCTACTTGCCACGGTCAGGATTGGTTGCTCCGATGTTGTCTCCTTCGACGTAACATCCGTTGACTCTACCATACTTTGTTTCCAGTCCTCCAAATCTTTATCCGACATGTTCGACAAAGAGCTCAGTTTAGTGGTACATCTGTAACTGTAATTCATATCGGCCTTCTGCATTGGAGTTTTAGGCATGGACACGCTCTGCGATCGAGAGAAATTCTTTTTCTTGCCCTGTTCCCTGTTTCTCAAAAACTTTTCTGTATTCGGCGTCTCGGTCCTCTGGGGGTTCGACTTTGCCTTGTTCGCGCTATCCAATTCTTTAATTCGCACGTCCTCATCGGATATATCCATGCTCTCGACGAGGAATCTGTACGAAACACACGAAACAAAAATCTTTTTATTTCCCTTTAAACGTTTCGAAGAACACGTTTTAGAGATAAGGCACTTGCCTCCCAATTTTCTTGTAACTACCGCTAGACTTGCTGCATGGATTCTCTTTCTGCTCGAATATCTCCTTAACGTCCTGTTTCTTCTGTTCCTCCGTTTGTTTCAAAGTTATCGTGTGATCTTCGTCGTCGTCCATATTATCCGCCGGTAAGTCGTCCGTGCACATGATTTTTTGTAAATTACTATTGAATCCCATGTCGAATTTTCGTATTTGACCGTCCTCGTTGCTGTAATAATCCGTGTATGACACGCTGCCACGGCCCTCCCGATGCTCTTGATCCATGTTTATACAGAACTCGTTGAAATCCACATCCAGGCAAGGAGTCGTGGGGAATTTCGGAGTGTTGAATAATTGTGCTCTGCAAAAAAGTAAAGGGATGCATAATTAAATGTGAAATTGGTCTACTGCTACTTTTGCTATAAATTCAGTAATAATTAAATGCGACGTACCCATCATTGCTGATTAAACTTATGGACATGCTACACTCTCCCGTCGAGGTGGGGGCAGGTGACGAAGGTTCAGAAGAGAGGAACGACTGTGGTTCGCTGCTCCATCCAGTACCTAGGAAATAATGCACAAAGATAAATACTCAGATTACAGATACTTAATAAAATAATTATATCAGGAGGAATACTTACTATTTGGACTGGTAGGCGATAACTGGTTCCTTATATCACAAGATTCTCCGTCGATTGGTGGTTTGTACTGTATTGGAGTCGGCGAAATATACCTGAATACAACACAAAAAGAATTACTTTAACAATTAAGGTAAACAATATAAGATTATGAAAATGTATCAAACAGAGAAAAAACGTGAAACAAATAACTAAATACTCACAAGCACGGTTTACTTAATTTCTCACGATACCTGACGGCTTCCAAATCGGAAGCGTTGTATTCAGGACCGATACCACGGATGTTGAGATTTTGGTTGACTGACTCGTGGGTCGATCCTCCCGGGGAAGGATATTTCGGTGGCGAGGAGGCAGGCGTACGAAATAGAGGCACGCTGGTCATTATGTCCAGGAATGCATCCAATTGACGTAGCGACAGCGCGTTGTGAAGAGTTTCCAGAGGCCTGATCGGTGGCACCCCTCCGAAACCTTCTATCGCTAAATATCAGAATCTTTATAACAACGGAGCAATTTTATGCTCGGTGTCAGGCAGGGATTGAAAATATCCCGAAAATAATCGTTTCTCGGTAGCTATTTCAAGAAGCGGAAGTGATAATATATTTTCAACCCCTGGTATCAGAAGGAAGGTGTACTCACCGGCAACGGCAGAAGCGTGCGGCGGGACCATGTCTTTGAGATTCGGCGCGCTGGACGAGCCGCTGATCACGGCCGTGCTGAACAGGCTGTTCGCGGACCCGGTCAGCTTCTTGTTGATGTTGTAGCCCAACAGCTTGAAATAACTCATCTGTCCGGAGATACTGTGACGGTGGCGCCTTGCTGTGCAGGTAGGGTCAGGTTGAATGATCGAAGGTCGTGTGTCTGGGGACGAGAAGGATCGTTGAGGCTGGAGACGGGAGAACGGTGCACATGGACACTTGGAGCGGTGGTTATTATACTTGTTGCGGTGGTGGTGGTAGTTGTCGGGGGTTGCGGCGGTGGTGATATTAACGTGATCGTCGTTATTATCGTGCGTATGAATAAGCGTAACACTACGATCTGGCGCGTCAACCAGGCTACCGTCCCACCGAAGGAGATTCACGTTCGGACAAGACCAACGCCTGCACATCCTCGAGATACCGTTCGAGCTCGCGTTCGAGCTAACCGAATCGAGCCACGAATACGACCTCAGACAAGGACAAGAGGTCTTCTTGTCTAATGAACACTTGGCAATACCCTCGATCACGTTCCCTCCGCTGAAGGACCGCCTCATAAAGTTCCCTTTGTCCACAGATAGCTCGCTCCGATCGAAGCTCACCGAACGAGAATTCGAATCCGGATAATGGACAAGGTCGCTCTGTTCCTCGGGGAGTCTGTTTCCAACGCAGGCGAGGGACGAGGGTATGACGAATCGACGCGGGGACTCGAACCGCGGCGACGAGTAACAGGAACAGTTGAAGAACTTGTGCGATAGCGAGCGGGCGAAGTAGACGTCGAAGTTGGAACGCTCGACGGGCGGAAGCTCCCTGCTCCTGAGGATCAGCTCGGATACGTTGCAGTTGTAGCAGAGGCACTTGGCGAGGTAGGGTGACAACGAGCGGGATCGTTTCTCTGGATTGAACCGGAGCGACAGTGGCAACGAGAACGGATATCGCTTGGTCAGTGCCGTCGGATCGTCGATACCACGGAGAACCGTCTCCGACCGGGAACGTGTATATCTCTTGCTGCCTTGCGTGTCGAGATCGTCGAGGAATAGAGGACGAACGGCCGCGGGGACCGGGATACTTTCGTGCAAGGATAACGAAGATAGGGAATGCTTTGGCCAGTTTGGATCGCTCGGCGGTGGTCTCGCGGAATCGGTCAACTCACCGCTGTGCTCGATCCCAGGGAGGGTCAACTCCGAATGAGACCGGCCGTATTTCTTACTCTGAGAGGGCGGATCGGCGACGATCGGCACAAGATCGGTATCGAGAAACGAAGAACGGATCGTGGGGACCGGAAACGTTAGACTGGTCGCGTCGAACCCGAAGGTGGCCCTGTTGCTCGGAGACACTAGGGGGGATGTGTGCAGCGTTACCAGAGGGGTCGAGTACGTAGGGGTGTCTACCGTAGGGACCGGAAACTCCGGTGAACTGTACGAATGCGATAATCCCGTGATCGGCACGCTCAGTGACGACAGGCCAGATCTTTCTACGTAGCATTGTTCAGTTCCATGCTTTTCTGATTTGTTGTTGTTGTCGTTGTTCAATCGACGGTCGCATGCGTGTGGTTGTTGGTCGGTATTAGAATGAAACGTAATGGCGATGTAACAGCAGAGGACGGGGGGCACGAGGGAGGGAGAGAAAAGAAAAGAAATAAGAAGATTAAATAAACCCGTCACCGTACAAATCAAGTAAACGTTGGTAACAATCTTTGCCCATGTCGTCCTTCTGCGTTGCTGTTTTCTTGTATTTATAGCGTGAATTATAATCGAGACTACATGCTTCGGAAATTTGCTGAACATTTATGATCGTATGGAAACGGTACTTTAATTAAATGGTAATACTTCGAGAGGTACGAAATTTTTTACAGGGCTTGCATTCACAGAATATTGCAGTAGTTTGTTCCTCGAATGTGTTTTTTTTTTATACTATCTTACTTGCTGTCGTACGAAATTTAATAAGGTAGACGAGATCCTAAAGGGAAAGTTGTATAATCTCATGTTTCCCAAGAGTATTATAAAAATCTTCACGCTGATAAGTAGATCCCGGATCTTTATACAAGATAAACCATTTGTAACTGCGGACTTTTGTGAAAAAAAAAACTTCTATGATATCAATTTAAAAACGTAGCTGAAAACGTGTGAGTTGTCTTAACACATTGTGCGCGGGTACATTTTGCAGTGCTACTACGTACTAAACGTACTAGTACGTGTCCCGCATACAATGTGTTAATTAAAATTACTACTGATACTTAGAAAAGTTATATATCATCTGAAAATTTAAGAGCGAAACTGCAATTTTCTGTGTTGATGTAAATCGTTAATACCGGAGACGACGTTTTCAAATGAAAGATTCGTTACCAGTAGAGGAATAAAATAACGGAGATACGTACTAGAAGAAATTGAATAACGTATGTGTATATGTACTTCAAAAGTTGTTTGCGTTTAGTAGGCACAAGTTTGTTAATGTTACACATTCATGGCACACGATAGCCATGCAGCCAGTAAGCCAACCAGACAACATCGATTATTGTGTCTATGAACACTGTATTCTTTATAGTTAAGGTGATAGTGATTTCATTCAATCGATAACAATCAAAGTTTTCTCCACTGAAGACACTGAAACTGGATCTTCAACTACAAAATCATTTAAACAGATTTTAGAATTTTGTGATACTTCAGTCTCATCGGTGGAATTTGCAAACTTCTGATTGTTATTAAAGACTGATTTATTTAGATAGAAATATGGAGATCGAATTTCGATTGTGCTTGGGATTTCTAATGCTGGTGGAGCAACAAAAATTACTATGTTCAAAAAGAAGAGAAAAATATTTGATTATCCATTGAGAAAAAACTGTTATAAAATTATTTTCTTAAATTCCTTTCTTTCTTATCTCAGTCAATATTAAACCAATATAAGAAAGAGAGGAGATCTTTATCAGGAAGCAGAGACGGGGATGACAAAAACGAAAAACTTTTAATATGATTACGTGATGAATAAAAAGCCGTGAAGAGATTCTAAAAAATTATAGGACGGTTGAATCGACTGCGAATCTCGATGGAACGAAGTGAGAGACGGGATTAGGGGAGGAGGATTAGAACGGCTGAATGAATTACACCCATTGAAACGTGTAACCCAGACAGTCGTTGACAAATAATTAATTGGCTTCCACGCGCACAACTATCGCTGAGCAAAGAGTTATTTCAACTGATCGTTCTTTTCTTTTCCTATATTTCCATCTAAGTGTCCTCGAGTTAGTTTAATGTTATATACTCATAAGACAACTGAAGTCTCTTTTACGCACACAAATTGGTAGAAAAACGGTATCTAGTCATCGAGCTATTGAAACAAACTTTTTAAACAACTCCAACAATTTTACATTATATTAACGGTACACAGAACATAAAAGACAACTGTACGCCTCTATATTTACACAAGGGGAACAGAATGTATAACGTAAAATAAAATAATATAACGTAAAATAAAACTTCTACACGTGTATCGTGAACGAAAATAATACGACATTGAGGATTAGGCGTGAGTAGAAGACTAGCTACGGAAGATTATGCGTGTACGTTTACTAACTGTCAGATCATTTCACAAGCTTTCGTACTGACGATAAAGAACTAATTAACTGACCCGCAATATTAATCACTATAGACAATGCAATAATATAAAGGGGATAAAGTACTTCGTGGGAGAAGTGAAAAATGGAAGTAACAATAGCTACGACTACGACAACTACCTTACAAGTGAAGAGTAATAAATTGCCCAATCGAATCAGATGATAAACGCATTTTAATTTGATTAAATAGCCAATTCGAGCACCCAATGGATTCATGCCTGTTTCGACTGGACAGTAATAGAAACGATCAACTAAGTAGAGCTGCCAAAATACTTGGAAAATCGAGCCGTGTAATACTTGGTTTCAATCGGGTATTCAAAAGAATCGAATAGCTTGGATAAATCGAGCGAGTGGGCTACTTGATTTCATCCGAGCTACTCGAGTTTTCGGTTCGATCGAACATCTCGGCACTTCTACAACTAAGTAGTTAAACCCTCTCTAAGAGAACTGTTTTAAAAATAAATAACTGTAAGTCTCGTTCGTGTCACAAACACTGAAAGATTAAATATTGTGATAACTCCTGTGAGACCGTCTCATCCCCTATGATAAGACAATGCGTTATAAAAATAAAATTGCTGAAAGTGAAAACTGGGAGGACTGACATACCTTCCTTGTTGACCGCGTCCAAGCTCTGATACTGCAGCTTGTCCGCAGCTATAAAAAGAGACACGAAACACACCAGGATTTCTAATAAAATCCGACCATGGCAAATCCGTAACCATCAGTCCCCATAAAAGCATAATGTTATACATTAATAATTGTACAATACAATGTACATCGTTTCTGTTTCTGGTAAACAGTACGTTTATTAGATTGACATATCGATCTAACGAAGAGAAGATTTTTGCGACCTTCTTGTCAAATATATCCCATCATGCATAATCAACGAAGATTAGTTCAAGTTATAAGTTTCCAACAGCTCCGCGAGAAGATTTATTAAAAGTTCACTTACCTTTCTCGGACTTGTCTTGCCTCTGGTGATCGTAGCTGCGAGCACGCGGTTCGACGCTGTTTCCTCTCTCCGTGTCGCGCCGTTGACGTTGACTCGCTGCCAACTGGCTACCAAGCCTCGCTGCTTCGTGACCAGCCACGGTCCTCGCACTGAATTCAAATTATTTTAGAGGATGATGAAAAACTGTTGGCTAATTGCAAGTAGTTCTTGAATTGACAACATATTTAAAATAGGTGATCATGCAATTACCTTATTGGAATTGGCGCCGAGCTTTGTAAAAACCCACTGTCGAACGGTTCATCCATCATGTTTGGATCTAAGTCCATCATATCCACAGCTCTGCTGTTCATAGGACTGTCCATCGTTCCATCCGCAACATCCGTTTCCACCGGTGGCGGAGATGTATCCTGGATATTAAAAACATATTAAGATTTCGTAAACAAAATTCAAATTAAATCTGTATCAGTTATAATAAACGTACAGCCTTCAGTGGAGTCATGAAATCGTCTTCCAGGATCCCCAGTTCGACGTCTTCTTCTTCTATCCGGGTGCTGCATTGTGAAATCGTGTCTTGAGCAGAACCACCGCTTTCACCCTGAGACAATCCAACGATTCAATCAATTCTCTGTTCTTAAGATAATTATTTATACCATGGTTCGCCAAATATCGAAACTTTCCGATAATTAAAAAAGTATAGCGACCCCTGAGTTATATGACTGTGATATTTACCACGTTGTGGCTACTTTCGTTGCGCGAGTGGGGCCTGAAACCGGGACCTGGTGGTAAATTCTTCTGCACGCAGCAATTTACGCCAGGACTGAAATGCAGTTCGACGTGGAAACGTTCCTCACTGCTTGGATCCTTGGTCGGATCCTCATACAGCATGACCACAATCTGGGACATATAATTCAGTTCGGAGACCATGCTGACGTATTCCATGGCCCGGCGCCACTGCTCGTCTTTTATGACCTGCATGTATAAAAAATTATTTATGACCATGGAAAATAGATATCGTTTATATACGTACATCAAGTAAGCCACCGTAACGTAGAACGGTTAATAAAGAATGTACGTGGCTTTCGCTTGTAAAATAAAGCCTTGTACGCACGTGTCTACCGGGACTCGAGACACCGTGAGAGTATCTGAAATAGAAATTTAACAATGAATCGAGATGTATTGAAATATCCACTTTAAAAAAGAGGAAAGGGAACAAAGGATGGGGAACGATTGCAGACACGGAATCACAGCCTTATCATGACTATTAGATAAAACTTACCTAGGATTCAGTCTATTCACCGTTTCCTCTGATTCTTCAATATTCCTTTGCAAGTCTGCTTTTATCTTCTTTAAAAGTGGGGTGCAAATGCCTTGCCCGATTGTGAGCTTCTCTTGCACCGTTAACCCGTATTCCTAAAGTAGAGTTGTAAATAATCGATTAAATCTTTAATTCAACTGAATAATAATTAACAACTAATATTCAAGTCTCAATTGTTCTGATTAAGCAATTCATCATTAACTTACAACTCGTCGTCAACAAATAGAATTTAGTTATCAATTGAAGTACACTCAAATTGTCAATTATAATACAATCGTTAATTGTTTACACGTACAGTAGAACTGTTCAGACCTTTACCTGTGGTATGACGATATCCGCTAAGTACTTCGAATATATGTAAAGCTCCTCCGCGTGCTCGAACTGCAGTGTGTGGTTGTTGTGTTGCAAATCGTACTTTATGCAATCATAGATATCTGGGATCTTCGATATATCGAATCTCTTGTTCTTTTGACAAAAGTCCTTTTCGATCTTTCCCCATCGGCGACCCATCAGCTCCCATGTTTCACCGTGATAAAGAATCGCGTCTGAAATCAACAATATAAAATAGATAACTATAGATATTGGAAAAGGGGTATCGAACAGAGTTGCTGGAGAATGCAGGAATGTAAGGACTTCATCCAATTATGTGAGTGAGTTGACAACGCGCACCTTTGGTCTTCGGATCGTCCTTCTTAGTGCGAACGATATCCATCAGTTTTTGTATTAACGTGTGAACGTGCTGGCAGCAGCGAACTGGGTTCTTCACAAAATCCAGCGCAGCGTTTATACTTAACGCATTGCCAGGATTTATCTGCTCCCTGTCCTCAGGCGTGAAATCCCGGTCCTGTTGCAACAATTCGTGAAGCCGTGTCTTCACCCTACAAGAATGTACTTTTAAAATTTGCTCGTAATTTCAAAAATAACATCCCAGTAATTTACGTACATGTTCTGATATTTACTACTGTCGCAATCGTTGTCCAATAGCCCGTTGGTATTTGCGCTCTTCACCATCTGCACCAGTATCGGGGTCAACTCGCCTTCCAGTGCAAGCAAACCCTTCGCGAACGCAGCTGCAGTCATCTGGACCCTCCCTTCGTCGCTCGCATAGATCTTTAAATCGTGTCGGAACGTGGAGTGCAGCCTGAGTAATCCCAAGCCTTGCGCTCCGGCGTAATCACCTGCGTACCGTGTGACAGGAGTCAGAAACATTATTTTGGAGAAAGAAGTGCGCACGAGTAGACGCAAAAAAATAATATCATTATTTTTAAAAAACATCGAATATACGCATGAATTCACTATGGTGATCTATATTCTAATAAAGAGATCGTAAATATTAGAAGGATCGTTGATCGTTAGAATCACATTTGATATATGAATCTTTTTGCAATCAGTTTATACATCAGTGAGAAATGTGTGAAATAAAATACAATATTCTTTATAATACAGAACATTAATTTTATTTATTGTTATCCTAAATAAAAACGTTTAAGATAAATGTCCCAATTTTTGTTCACCTCCAAATTTCTATTTATTGGCTTACTTTTCTATAATCTTAAGATTATACATGAAATTGTAGAAAAATACGCCAGTGAGTAGAAATTGTGATGTGAGCAGAAATTGGGACGTTTATCTTGTGATAAAAAATAATAGAATGCACACTTGCAATGGATATGAGAGTGTACGTGTCTGTGTCCATGATTTAAGTATGAGACCGCACGAACTATATGATTTATTGAAAGGAAAATAATAATAATAATAATAATAATAATAATAATAATAATAATAATAATAATAATAATAAGACCAGATAAACATTTAAGGCCACAAAGTATATAAAAGCTACTACCTCCGAATTACAAAGCGTTTCATTGCAATAAAGTTGCTCTTACACATCGAGATTAGCATAGAAACAGCATCTCGTTTCTTAGCAGCTTAACGAGTTTCGTAATCTTTTCGTAAGCTGCGACAATTTTCCAACAATTATTGCATTTATTACTATTTCTATGCATCTGTACCGTCGGTCTACGATGCAACTACGTAACAAGCATTGATTCAAAATAAAAGAAAGTTACCGTGGTTTGGTAACATCTCTGAGTCTTCCTCTGAAATAACATTTGAAACGATCTTAGAAATCGGAAAGATTTTTCGTAAGGGCGTGAACATTTTTCTACAGAGCACAACGAGATTCGTCAATAATCTACAGAGGATGGAATTCTGACGATGTCTTAAAGACAGCACACAACTAAAAAATGAAATCAAATGCCTACCACGTACATACGGGCTCTAACTTTTTCATCAAACCGTTTTATGGGTATATAATCTTGGATATAAATATTCACGGTGTAAAATTCCGCGTAAAGACGTAATTAAAAATTATTTATTGACATAAATAATTTTTACTATCTTTGAATTTGTACGCGGAACGAGACACTGCGATCGAGTGTATTTCCAACACTGCAGTAAATATGTATATACTGTGCAAATAGATAAGTAGCGATATATGATACATTATTATGCGTACGCTCGATCGAGCAGTCCAGCCGGAGATTCAGCCAAACACATGGAAACTTGTTAAATAAACAGTCTCAGTTATAACATTATATAATAATAATAAATTAACTCAATAATGAGCGTGATAAGCGTATGAACATGAGATACGAACCACTAAGGTGTCTACCTTGACCACCAGGGTACATGCAGCGAAATATTCGCCCCAGCTCCTCCGCTTGTATGCGACCAGCTGGCGTTAATTCTCCGCCCCATTTCAGTATCAAGACCAACGAAGGCTCGCCGAGTCGATCTAATGAACGGACATATATTTAATCGCTTAGATGATATGTAAAGTTGATTTTTATCAATTAATTCTGTACCATCATCTGACGAACTTCCTCTGGGCCGCCCTCTCGGTTGATATTTCATCTGCACTTTGCGATTTATACCAGAGAAATGGCCATACCTAAAATGTCATGATCCGCCGGGAAACGTTGTTATGAATAGGAAACGTTGAATTGTTCATCCTGTTTCACGATTACTCACATTTCCAAGACACTTTTCAGTTGTTCCAATTTGCCTTGTTTCTCTTCCAATTCCGGACCAGCGGCACGATGCTGTATCTCGGCTAACAAACTACGCGCGGTATCCAATATTTCCTGCAGCTGCTTCGGCCTCTTCAATTTGATATGACCGTGTTTATATCCATCGTATTTCGCGAATATCTCGAAAAACCTGCAACGAATAAAAAGTAGTGATCAAATCAACTGGACAGAATCTAAAAATTGTTCGATAAAAAATGTACAAACTTCGGATGGCGAACTTCGACTTTCATTTTCTGCTTCGGCGTTCGATCGCCGTGTCTTATGACAGCAACAACGCATCGCAACTCCATCCTAATACGAATAAAGAATTACTGATCGATTCAGGATAATCTATTTAAATATTTTTCTTTTCTTACATCTTTCCAAACGTAGTCGGGACGATAGGTGGGTCGTCCAGTTGAAAAGGAACGCTCCATGGTATATGCAAAGTAGGTGCCAATTCCCTCAAAATCATATTTCCCAGAATTTTCGCGCAATCATCATAATATTTGTTTGAATTCTTCACGAAGCTGAACCCATTCACATCGCAAACGAACGACTGACCGTTTGCTCTGAAAAGTGTAGTAGACAAATCGCTTTAGGTTTCACTGCAACTCTTCTTCCAGTAAGATAAATCTTTCAATTTTATAGTGACATAAAATTGTAAAAACTAAATCAGTGAGTAAAAATCAGAAAATAAGCAGAAACTAAGATATTTATAATTAGTTTTAATACGTTCACGAACCTAAGGAGATCAAAGCCGCAGACAGTCTGCTTGAATGCCAAACAGACTTTCCTGCTGATCAACTTCTCGGCGTTGCTCAATATAACCGGATATCGAATCTCTTTCCCTTCGGAGTCTCTCTCCACTTTACCATCCAACGCCGGGCTCTTTCTCGCCTCTGCGTGAGCGTAATCTGGACCCACGGTGTACACTTTCACATCTGTTCCATCGGTCGGCATGAAGTCTTCGTAGATATACGAACCCGTCTTGCGAACTCGAGATTCCGGCGAATACACGCTGCTGCGACTTCCTATCTGTGAAACGAACACGAAAAACGATTCATCTATATATATACTGTTTAAAATTCTGGCTATCTTTTATTGAAATTATTAATTATTGAAGTGCGTTCTACGATCGATTATATACCTTTCTAAATAATCTTTGACTACCTCCACCCGCGGATGTAGGATAATAAATATAAATGTTGTGATCCTCTGCCGATACCGGTTTCTCTACGAACGGTTTATTAAATGTAACACCATTCACTTCCACATGATCCTCTGACTCAACCAATTCATGATCTGAAAAAAAAAAATATGTATAAGGACCTCTAGAAATCTTTCTCATAAAATACAGTAAAGAGTACGTATAAGAAATATTTAAACTACGTTTTGGATCAGATGAATCCCTGTCCAAGACAGCGTATCTCGGGATTTCAATGCCCTCGCTCTCTAGAATAGCATAAACCCTCCTACGATCCTGGCAAACGTAAAATTGATATTGAATAAGAAGTACTCATTAATATTTGTCAGTATTAAGTGCAAGCGTACCTGGATATCATATTGCATCGGTAAGTTATTGATAATAAACGGATTTCGAAGATTAGCATAACTAATAGCTTTGTCAAGAGGAAAACCTTTGCTGTGAAAACTTATTAAACAATCAACGACAGGCCAATCTTCTACGGATTCCTGTAAACATTTTTATGTAGAGTCGATTAATAGGTCGTACAAGATAACTACAATTAATGAAGGTAAAACTACAATTACGTACTTTTAAAATAACTTCTTCAGGGAACACTACTATTTTAATGTACTCGAACTCCTCTAATCTGGTTAAAATCTCCTTCATCGGTTTACTTTGGGACTTCTTTGCCATCGCACAGACTCCAACCAAAACTTGCTTCCCTTCCCCTTCCAAATCGCTTCCACCCATGCATCCATCATCATTGCTACACCCGTCCGACAGCTCGGCCTGAAAAAACGTTTATTTAACATGATTGAAATAAAACATTTATCCTACATTGTCCTAACATCCAAACGATCTACCCAAGAAGATGAAGAATGAAAACAGATAAAGCTGTAGGCTATACAGAGGCAACAAAGTTGACATGAGAGACATTATTCGAACAGCACTAGTGCAAGATCTTAAACTGATGGCTGAATACATGTACACGAGTCTCTATTAGTTTATCATGTTAAGCAATTTTGCTCACCCAGTAAGTCTTTAAGCAGGACAAAAAGCCAGGTCTGTCGAGACTTTGTTTTGAATAATTCTCATAAATTCCCGATGTGTTACTCATTCTATATGGTTTTTACATTCTTTTACGTTCCATGCAATTAGACGTTAAAAGTTAAAGATTCACCGTATGCACTATTGCCTATGTAAAAAGGGAGACATAAATGGAATACTAAAATGTATTGTTTTATACAATAATATACGTGGCGTGGCAGACAACTGATTTAGTATAAGGTGTAGAACATTTATATCTATGTTATCAATGATTAATTTGATCAAAATTGGATCATCGAACATACACAGCAGTCCACGCAACAGCACCGCATATCCAAATCTGTGATATCGTCAATGTTCCAGGCTACAGAATCGTTTTTGTCACAATATAAGTTTTTTGACCACTCCATAATCTCGTTTACTGGCACTCTCACGACAACGTTAGATGGTTAGACAAAGAGCAATCGTTTCAAGCTTCGATTCAGTTCAATAAAAATGTGCTCAAGCAATTCTTAAGGCTATCATGAAACTCAGGTTTTGTTCGATATTAACTAAGTCAAACGTGTTAAAAAATAAATACAAGTTCTAAGGCTAGTAGAGTACTCTTTGCTTAAAGATAAGAAAGAACTGTATCTCTGAGCAAGCTGGTTTGTATAGCAGTTCGGAGAAGAACTTTAGTAGCGTTTCGAGTGGTGTAGCAAATATTATTTGAATAAATAATATCTCCAGTCAAATTTATAATAAATATAATAGTAATTAATTAGAAAGCAATTAACTAAAAAATGTTAATGTATAATAATTAATTACATAATTACTGCAAAGGGAGAAAACTTATTTCTTTTAATAGTTTCATTCAGTGGTTAAAGAATTAATTAGGATTAACTCTACCATCATCCAGTAAGGTTCTGCTTCATTATCACAATCAAAGATGTAAATATCCGGCACTGTTGACAAAGAACTTGCACCTTCCATTGTCAATTTAATTGGACAATAATCAGTAAGTTATAAATAATACTGTTGTTACATAAAAGTAACGAAATTTACACTAAACAGTATGTTTCACCTAATTTAGGAGTAGACGCGTTTCATGTTTGAACTAATCACTTTGTTTCAATTCACATATATTGTGATAACAGACAATAAATACATCGAACACATTAAACATAGAATTGAAAACTGCTGTCCTGTAATATTTATTTAGTTTATAAATGTATTTCTTGGCTGTGCAGGCAAATACACGTACGATAAAAGTTTCCTGCCAATTTATTTTTAGACAGATGAAATACTGAAGCAAGGCTTTTCTTTGTGAGTCATCGCGTGACTTACAAAATGATTAATGAAACATTAAGAAGCTAAACAAAACACTCTGTTACATTTAATATTGAAATATGTTACCATCGACTGTTCAGTATAAATTAACAAATAGAACCTACTCCAAGGTACGTGTTACATAAAATTTGCATATATATATAACTAAATATTATTTTAGAAAGGATAATTTTGTAACCTGTGGTACGTTATTCGAATTTGAAAACGTGATGACAAGACAATAAATGATTACTTTAAGCATTGAAATATCAAACGTGAAGTACCTAGTTCATTGTTAATAACATGCATGACTTAAAACAGATAATAAATGAAAAGATAATTACATTTTCATATAATTTCAAATTGCGTTGCATGCCGCAGACAAAAGTAATTCGAACTTACTCTTTTGGAAGAACGATATATAGAAGAGGCCACAGGACCCACAAGATTTGGTTGTACTGTATTTAAATCCCCTACATAGAAAATTGGTCGACTGGCATTCCGTAGACCCTAACGATTAATCATTAAATTAAAACATTGTATTATAAGCTTATCTCTTAACATACATTTGAGACTTAATAGTACAGATGATCAATCTCAATCTGGTTGAGACGTTACTTAACAGTTTACCTCTTAACATTTACTCGAGACTTAACACTACACATGTTAAATATTCATACTTATTTCAGATTAAATGTTAAGATTACTTTTCAAAAGTCATTAAATTAATTCAATGTAAGATGAAATTGTTTCTACCTGATAACCATGTTCCAATTCAGTGTAAGACATGTCAGAACAGGTTTCATTGAGGAAATAAAAGTTTCAGCTTGGATTCAGATAATTCACTGCGACCTGAAACAATTAAATGCATCAACGCCACTGTCGGTTTGTAATTACAATACCAACAACTCGAATGACTGCTTATCGTACTAGCGAGTAAGTTTTAATGTATTAGCTAAACGTCGTTAATTAAATTTACGTACGTTCGCGATTTGATTTAACAGCGATACGATTGAAAGGATAGCGTAACCTCGTACAGACGTACGGTTCTTATTATTTCCCCCCAATAAATAGACTTTAATCAAGCCGGGACTAAACTAGATCGAAGTAGTTACCGCGTAAAGTAACGGCTAGATACGATCTAATCCTGCATTGTCCTGCATCGCATTATGGATAAGGCGATATAGAAGTACGTTTCGATTTATTAACTCTTTAGAAAAGACGTTGATCTTGATCGAGCTCACCAGTGTCAGTTCCGAATTGTTTCAAAGATTCGACGCCGCGAACAGTATTGCGGGATCAATAAAACTTCTCGAATCTTTGGGCGATTCAAAATTTTTATTAAACAGTATATCCTTCAATTTTCAGACATCTTGTTAAACTCTTCAGTCAAACTTGAATATCTCGATCTCTCGTATATCCTGAATCGTATCAATCGATATGTACAGTCTCGTTCATAAATAGTTCTAGTTGGGTACTATTGTAATTTACATAATTTATTTATATTATCACCAGACTGCGGACTTTCTGCATTTATGAGGAAATTGAATGCACAAAAAATATAAATATCGCAAGTAACTCATAAAAATATATAAAGTGTCAAACCCAAAGTGCACATTGCATAATGTTTAAGAGAC